GATTTGTCATGATATAACTGCCTAATCTATAAGATCTTACGTGGAAGTCACACCATCGACTACGCCAACTCACTGTATCGTATCAATTACCAATACATGATGTAGAACAAGGTTAATCTAGAGAAAGAACAATATATTTAATATGAATAGAAGATATAAGATAACATCCAGCAGGGACCATGCCTGCATGGCCGAGCCATGCCACTCGATCAACTCCCGTCCATTCAATTCATTGTTCGCGCCTTTTCCATTGTTAGGTATTTCTCCGCGTTAAATATTGAATATCTATTTTCTGAGTAGTCTCGTGTTCACAGCTTTGTGGATTGTGTGGCTATTGTCCAATGCCACTACACTACTCTCCCACCAGAATCAACGTGATGTTGGTTCGATACCAAATTGGATGGGATCGTCGCGCGCCGGAGGTTACCAAGGATAATAAGGATCCTCCGGGTATTGATAAGCTGAAAGATAAATCAAAAAGCAGGTGGCAGCATCTGGTCGGGAAATACATGTAATAATCTTAAAATATCTGCTTTCATGATTAACACGCTTAAAATGAAAATTTGGTTGAAGATTATTTGAACTATAAAAAATGGGATTACAATAATAATAATAATAAAACGATGCGTGTTAATAACTTGACTTATAGGCAGTAATTATTTTGTGTTTAGAAATATTAAAGTAATGAATATTGTAGAAATGTTAATATTGGTATTAGTTTTGGTTTAAATTATGAAATCGGATAACGATTATGCCGGTAAGTTGTCCATAAGAGTTGAATTCCAATTGCATCTGTATCAGTAGGCTAACTGAAGGAACAAAAGTATTACCATGGTAAAGAATTCCAACTAGTGTTCTAGTTAGTTTGATACGGTTTATTTAGTTACGGGGAGATTTTCTCAACCTCATTTTTACTTGACCGTGATAGAATTTGGTAATACTACTAATACACATGAATGGTTATCAAAATAAAATTTAAATACGTGAGTGATGATTATATGAATTTTGGACAGATAGCTAGGAACAAATCGTTAAACATGAGTGTATTCGTAAGAGACATGCTCTAGACTCAATGTTCTGTTCTGTGGCAGACTATTTATTTATATTTATACTTGTCGGCTGATTGGGCATACAAGTTAGTTGCAAGTATGCAGTTTATCATAAGGCAGAACACAATTTAATTGAGATATAGTGGTTACAAGTTATTAAAATCAGTTAGACCTGTGTCATATTACGAAGTGATGTGGTGCTGCAAAATGTATTTAGCTAAATAAGTTTTTACAAGATGATTAATAGTGAGTGATGCTCATGTGATTATCAGGGAGAACATAAGTTGTAACCAGGGGGAGTATACTCCCAACTCACGTCTATGATAATGGCTTGAACCTTAGTCAGTGTTGGGGTAAATTCGACATTGATGTTTTCAGTTTGCAGGAGATTTGCTCGACTGCTTATACTGATTATTTGCATGCATGATTGTGTCGCTAAACCTCCAATTAGACTGACAAGGTTTTGAGATATTTACTGAATGAGCAACTGATAAACATACTGTAATCATCCGTAGTGAATGAAGATAAAAGAAAAACAACACTAGTGATAATTATAAGCCAATTTGCTGACCGATTTTGTTAATAGTCTCATTAATTTTATCAATCATATTACGTGATTGTCATGACAATGCTTTATGACGATATCCTAAAACTATTATGTTTAACTACTTATAGTGTTGATTAAGGATTAGTCAGTGGAAAAATAGGTATTGTTGCTTTAGGTGATTCGAAATCATCAGAAACTTATATCGTTAAAGAATCCGAGACGCCTAATTTAATTATAAATTTCAATTCAGAAATATTCGTTTAGTGTTAATTTTAGTAGGCTACTGAGTTTTGATTTTAAACGTTTGTTTAGCCAACAGCTACTTGGGGATTTAGTTATTTCACTAGTGCAGTTGATAGTACCTAAATTTTTAATCTTATTATCTAAACTATGTTCGCATTTTAGGCTGCTAATATGATAAACTAATCCATAAACCCAAATACGATTAGCAACAACGACTATGATGAGTTTATTGATAAATGTTAAAGGCGATTCAGATGATTTCTAAATTCAAAAGATATGAAGATATAGTAAAACGTATGTACGGGCCAGGTTAACATGCAGGTTGTTGATGTATATAAAAATTTAAAAATAATGAACATGACCAGAAAATAATTTTAAAGTTAAGACTGCTTGTGAAACTTTAGGCAGGAATATGATGCGTTATAAACCTTCCATAAGAAGTTACTGCATTTAGCTTAGTGACACTTACAAATATATGGCAAAAGCAACTGAAAAACATATACATGTTAAGTACAAAAAAAATCATCCAGTAAAATAGTTGAACTCGCCTGGATTATTTTTGAAAATTAGATTATTCAGTGGACGACATATATAACGCCATTCGTGAGTAGTAATGATCCAAAAGCATCCAGAATAAAACATGCAGTATGGCAATCACTTCCAGGGTGCTTGATGCTGTTGAGGTTTTTGGGACTCGCTCTGATCAGAACAACTGAATGAATCCAGATAATTGTGTGCCATCTAAAATGAACTTATGATTGCAGAAAACTTATAGCTGGAACTCACCGTATGTTTTTGGAGTAGTCATCCTCGTTGTTTGGCAATGGAACTCGAGAATATGAAATTAGGCAGGCAGTGGTCGGAAGAAAAGATATTACAGGACAGTGCATCGTTTAAAACAGGATGAGGTGTTAAGTGAAGGAACACTGAGAATTAGATCCAGATAACTATTTAGTCCTTGATCGCATTGTTAGTCAATGTATATTTACGCTTTTTACAGGTCATATTTGCTAGAGCTTGATGTTTAAACAAGACTATGTCGCTGAAGCATGTAAATGCTATTACAGCTTGTTAACAAATCATCAAAGCTAATTAGTTAATATAGACGACCAGTTTTTATTATCGATTGAGCTAGTTTGTCATGAGGACTAATCAATATAACATTACGATAATGCATGTGAGCATTAATCAGAGGACTATTGGAATACAGGGTTAACATAAATATAAAATCGATCGAGAAAGTTGAAGTGGAAATAAGGATTAATAATAATAGGTTGCGTTTCTTTAGTTGGGCTCACCAATGTAGAATTATGGTCTACTATGATATTAGTATTGCTCTAATAATAGACCTAATCCTAAATTCGTAGATTTGTCATGATATAACTGCCTAATCCATAAGATCTTACGTGGAAGTCACACCATCGACTACGCCAACTCACTGTATCGTATCAATTACCAATACATGATGTAGAACAAGGTTAATCTAGAGAAAGAACAATATATTTAATATGAATAGAAGATATAAGATAACATCCAGCAGGGACCATGCCTGCATGGCCGAGCCATGCCACTCGATCAACTCCAGTCCATTCAATTCATTGTTCGCGCCTTTTCCATTGTTAGGTATTTCTCCGCGTTAAATATTGAATATCTATTTTCTGAGTAGTCTCGTGTTCACAGCTTTGTGGATTGTGTGGCTATTGTCCAATGCCACTACAGGTTTATTGATAAATGTTAAAGGCGATTCAGATGATTTCTAAATTTAGAAGACATGGAGATATAGTGTAACGTATGTACGGGCCAGGTTAACAAGCAGGTTGTTGACGTATATGACAATTAAAAAATAATGAACACGACCAGGCTGCTTATGAAACTTCAGGCAGGAATATGACGCGTTATAAACCTTCCATAAGAAGTTACTGCATTTAGCTTAGTGACACTTACAAATATATGGCAAAAGCAACTGGAAAAATATACATGTTAAGGACAAAAAATCATTAAGTAAAATAGTTGAACTCGCCTGGATTACTTTTGAAAATTAGATTATTCAATGGACGACATATATAACGCCATTCGTGAGGAGTAGAATTGATCCAAAAGTATCCAGAGTTAAACATGCAGTATGGCAATCACTTCCAGGGTGCTTGGTGCTGTTGAGGTTTTTGGGACTCGCTTTGATCAGAACAACTGAATGAATCCAGATAATTGTGTGTGCCATTGAATGAGCCATCTAGAAATGACCTTATGATTGCAGAAAACTTATAGCTGGAACTCACCGTATGTTTTTGGAGAAGTCATCCTCGTTGTTTGGCAATGGAACTCGAGAATATGAAATTAGGCAGGCAGTGGTCGGAAGAAAAGATATTACAGGACAGTGCATCGTTTAAAACAGGATGAGGTGTTAAGTGAAGGAACACTGAGAATTAGATCCAGATAACTATTTAGTCCTTGATCGCATTGTTAGTCAATGTATATTTACGCTTTTTACAGGTCATATTTGCTAGAGCTTGATGTTTAAACAAGACTATGTCGCTGAAGCATGTAAATGCTATTAAAGCTTGGTAACGAACCATCAAAGCTAATTAGTTGATATAGATGATCAACTTTTATTATCGATTGAGCTTGTAACTTATGTGAACTAATAGATATAACACTACGATAATATATGTGACCATTAATCAAAGGACTATTAGAATAGTGGGTTTACAAAAATAAAAACCGATTGAGAAGGTTAAGGTGGAAATAAGGATTAACAATAATAGGTTGCGCTTCTTTAGTTGGGCTCACCAATGTAGAATTATGGTCTACTATTATATTAGCACTGCTCTAATAATAGACCTAATCCCAAATTTGTAGATTCGTCATGATATAACTGCCTAATCTATAAGATCTTACGTGGAAGTCACACCATCGACTACACCAACTCACTGTATCGTATCAATTACCAATACATGATGTAGAACAAGGTTAGGCTAGAGAAAGAACAATATATTTAATATGAATAGAAGATATAAGGTAACATTCAGCAGAGACCACGCCTGTATGGCCAAGCCATGCCACTCGATCAACTCCAGTCCATTCAATTCATTGTTCGCGCCTTCTCCATTGTTAGGTATTTTCCCGAGTTAAATATTGTGTGGCTATTGTCCAATGCCGCTACAGATTTACAGCATACTAGGTCTGTTATTCTATTGGCCTGATAACGATTATAGACGTGGAAATGTTAAGGCTAAGTACGAAGCAGTCTTATCTTCAGCAGAAAATTATGAAAGGTCAATTAAAATTTTTAACACTGCGATTATTGTTCGATGGTAGTTAGTCATGAAATATTGGATGTTGTACACGTTGTTTGAAAATGCTACTTCTTAGGTCTATTGGTGAATGAAACGAATTGTGTTGTATGTTATCGTGAATATAATGCCTCACCAAATTAAACCCATCACCAAAGTTTGTAGCTGACTGCAAAGTAGATTGTATCTTGTGTATCTATATACTGTAGGTAATGTTATCATTCAAAATGTTTATTGATGAGAAGTCCTAAAATTAATTGAATTAACTGTGAATATATTATGCTAAAATATATTCAAAAAACGTGACCTTCTTTTAGAATTTTTGATTTGTTTTTCCCTCCACTCTAAATCAGTGTCATATTTGTGGTTATTTTACAAACTGTTTATAAGTGAAATCTTATAAATTGTGTAGATATACATTTTTAGTTCATTATCTCAGGTTATCTTTTCCTAACAAACGAGTATTTACCGGTTATCATTCATGTTAACTTTCTGTCAAAGATAGATGATTTCATTCTTGTTGTCGCAACGGTGCCGGCAAATGGAACGTAGCTTCCTTATGTTTCACATGTGATATGACGTTTAAACATATATACATTATTAGTAATATTAAAGGTAGTAAATTCACTACGTTTTAGTCCTTATAGGAAGAATTCTTCATATTTTATCTCTTTAACTTTCTGCATTGATGGCTTCTTACCATGTTTACTTGTAGTTCCATATCCAGTTTTATGTGCTGAAACAGAAGGCCGACAACCTGTGTTAATTCTCTTCTGGTACATTTTTTAGTAGCCTGATCTTGTTTTGAACAAGATTGTTAAAGGCATAGACATAAGTTTTTTTCCGTGTTCAAGTTTCAAGATATGATTAGGGCTAAGAGTGCTTTTGTTAGCTCTTAAATTCTGAACTCATATCTTATATCCTCTGAATTGAACTGAACAAGATGGAAGAAAAACTGATGATATATCAAACCCCAAATCATCTGTCATCGTTCCTGGCATCATATCTAAGTCAACTCGCATTTGGCTATAAGACAAAGTAAAACGGTTTAAATATTTTAGACTCGCATTGTTTTGGGAGGTCCTTATATTCCGGATGTGAATGAGCATTTATCCATCTTACTTTATATAAAAGGTATAAATGAAGCATTAAACAGTGGCTTCTGGTCTAAACAAGGTTTTTAGTTTGATATCACTTTAATTATATACACAAGGTTGAACATATTTGTATCAAACTAGGTCCATTTCCGTCTTAAATTCCGCAAGTTTATAGTTTTTAATAGCAGCTGAATACCGAATAGGTTTAATTATATGGTTAAGACTCTCTAAAATCTATGGATTATTGTGATATGCGCTCAAAATTCCGATAATTTGCCTTTGTTACAGTTATGTACTTCAACCTATCCACCCTGAAGATTGACATGCTAAACCATTTTGTCAGAAATCAATCAGAATTTAGACTATCTTATCAGTAATTTCATATTTGACTAGACGGCACATACATGTGTATTTTTTGTCACTTTCCTCAAAATTTCAACTTGATCATTGCTAAGAAGCATTATAAACATAACAGTACGTAAGATTTTACTTGCACAGAGCATGTATAGTAAGAGACCTGGAACCTAGCCTTGTGTTACTCCACTGAGTACTTGTTCCCCAGGGGATAGTGTGATGCCTGTTACTTTTTTCCACTTTATCCGTCTCAAAATGTCTTTGGTTTATGTTGGTAGAGGACCAAATACTCTTAAAATTCTCAGCACACAAATGAAGACCGTCACACAGTTACCAGCAATTACTTGCGCTTGGTCTTGTTCCTCCCTTGCCTCCTGACATTTACTCACATCGGTAACCGAGTTACCGTCCCAAAGAATTTATTGTACTGTTATCGACATACAACATTGGTCTCTTTCATTGTTTGTTTGCAGTTTGAACAAATTCATTTTTGTATTTTATCTGAGCAAGATGAGTTGTGTTGATACATCTACTACGACTGACGGAGATGTCATATATTTTTTTACTTTAAACACAGAAGTGGTAGTGTTGTTTCCTCTTTGGAAATGTCCAAGGCTATCTTTATATTTGTCTTCCATATATTAGGACGGATCAACTAGTCTGTTTGGTAAAGCCCTACAGTAATGACTCTGACTATGATGACTGTGTAATCAGTTGTTCTTGTAAACGACAGGCGCTTAATTTGGCTAACATGATCGCCATAAGTGAAGACTGAGTCCAGTACAGAAGATTGTCCATACCTAGAGGGATATACAAAAAGCTGAAACAAAGTTTGATATTTGTTCGACAAACGTATTTAGAATAGACCGATATTTTCCAAAGTCTGTAGCTGACAACTGAATATATTTCTTTTGTGTCGGAATTTACCGGATAAAATAAAACCAGGAATAAGTAGTTCCTAGGTATCTTGCAATTAGCACCACGAAAAAATAATTAAGAAACGTAAAAATGTGTCGGGGCAACGGTGTGTTTGAATATGAGTAAAGGTAAGGGTAAGGGTAAGGCTGTTGCCCAAGGAAAGATGGCATTCTGACGTCAGTTCGTTTTTTGATATAGCTCCAGTGCCTGACTTGAGGCCTTGAATCGGTAACTTTTAACCAAACTAACAAGATCACTACTGTAAAATGTATATGTGATCATTCATTCCATGGATTTATATACATACACATAATAAACAGTTTAACAATCCTGCATCGCCTTGGTTCCAGCTGCTCTGAACAAACAGGTTAACTAAAACTTTTTTGACACTTAGTTTTAGGTGATACCAAAACAGAATAATATGACTCAAGAAAATGAAAAAATGAATCCTTGTGATATAGGTAAATCATTAAAATGTTACTAAAGAAGATAATATATTTCAAGATGAAGTAGAAGTCAGTTCGGATACATCTGAAAAGGAGGCCAAAGAATCCAAAACACACGGATCATTAGAGAATTTTGTGCCACAGATATACCGTGCTAAATTCTTCGGAAATACTTCCGTCTCTGAGCCTCGTGGTGATTTTATTTGCGAAAGCTCACTAGGATTACTTAAAACGCAGTTGCTTACATCAAAATTACACAAGAAAAGAATTAGGATACGTGTAGACACCAGTGGAATTAGTGTTATTGGTTCACGAAATTCGGTAAGTTGGATTAAATTTTATAATACATGCAGTGACAGTTTTGTGTGTAAAAAATAAAATGTGGGAATCGGCAGATGTTTTTGAGGTCCAGTTGCAATTAACTATGATCTTTTGAAAACATATATTTAGTGCCACATATGTCTTTGAATGGATGCCTTAATTTGTATAAATGTATATCAGTATCCAGATACGTATCGAAACGTTTTGTATTGTAACGATAGTAAGAGTGAATGATAGAGTCTACATTGAGTGATTTAATCACTTTTCGGATGTGAAGAACCAAATTTCATTACTCTTACGTTATTCTCTTGCCCAGAATGTTTCTTGAAATCTCAACATAATTTGTACGAATGTTTCAACAAATTGTGCATGCAAGTAATACCTTACTGAGTTCAATAATGCAAGACTGTATTCAACAACACTTATTATTTAGATGGGGATATAAAGTTGGAACAATAAAATATTTAGTGCTTTATTATTCAAGATTAAAAGCCACATATTTAACCCATTTGTAAATTTGGTCACAGGATAACTGCTTTAATATTTCTGCAATCAAACTATAAGTAACTGATATTGACATATCGAACCGTACTTCAGGTCAACATCTGCTCGAACAAGAACAAACTAACTTCTGTCGACTACTATATATCATCAGAATTCTTTGAGTTAAAATGGCGGCAAGGAAACGCACTACCAGCGCTGGCACCGTTGATTTCAGTGATTTTAACGATTAACTGGTCTGTGATCAGTTGGTAAATAAAGTTTGATTTTCCTTCATAGTCTTCAGTTAAGGTAATCTGAAGCACAACTAACAAATTAGACCTTAAATTGTCATTTTATACATGATGTTCAGTATTAATTATTGTCAACGGAAGAAAATTCTAGGAATTCAACTACTTTATATCCTTAATTACTTGGTTTGGCTCCCTGAAGATTAAGAGACAGAAGACCTAAATAGTAATAATCTTAACAATAACGTCTTATACATGGGACGATTAATTTATGGTAACTGTTGGAACTATTTAAAACTAACAATTATAATTCAATAACAATCAAGTTATTAAATGCAGTTTTGAGCCTAGTAAGCAGTCAATGTTTTTTTTTAGATTTTATACTCTAGACACTTATAAAGTCACCAGACAATAATAACTGTAAAAATGTTAACTCACTTAATTTAATATGTTAGTAAATCAGTTAAACCTACGACACTTTAAACGAATACAAAAAGCTATGATAAATAATATACAACCACTAATGATACATCTACTACACGATTTACAATAATGAAATCTTTTAATTATATGGTCATCTCCGATCGATTGATACAGTTTTACTAATGAACGTTTAAAGTTAGATTTCATTGATGTTCATGATTAAATATAAACAATCACAATTAAACTGGCTTCCATTTTAAAATATACTTATATATATATGAATATTTGTTCACATTACCATATTAAATTTACAAATAAACAACTAAAATATCTTGAATGTATATAACATAAATATTTTGAATTAAATTTTAACTAAACACAACAACATTTTTTTCTTGTCCTGTTGTGTTTCTCTTTGTTGTTTGTTTTTATTTTCATTTCAACATTATTTCAGACATTACATCATGTGCATAAATTTGAAAATATTACATTTATTTGGACTGACCCCTGTGATTTACAATCATGTGGAATTATAGTTAAACAACCATTAATTGGGGATAATGTTCATCAATTTTATGGTTATAAACTTTATCAAAATGTAAGTTTAAATGACTCATTTATCGCGTTTTGCTGTAATAATTTATTTACAAAATGAATGAAAACGAGTATTGTTACTATCCATTTAATTCTATTTAATTCACATTGATTAAAATTATGGTTATTTAGCTTTATGATATAAGTTATTCAATAAAATATTCCTTAAATTTATTTAAATCTATTACAGGGAAGTTGGAGAAAACAGAGGAAATATTTTCAGATATATCAGAATATGCAATCTTTAACTGCGAAACAAGGAAATGAAATTTGCGACATTTTAAACTATATAATAGTAATTTACTGTAGAAAAACAAGAAATATTATAGAAAGCTTTTAATTTAAACTTATATAAACTGTGGAACAAATGATTCGATCCTTGTTTTTAGTCACTTTTCCTTGTTTCGGATCTCATATAATCCATTAGAATTGTCTGATAAATAGTTATTGTTCGTTAATAAACCAAAGTCTTGATATTAATTGTAATTTATTAGGTTGAACGTGTGTGAAAACCAAGATGTTTTTAAATAAATTAGTAAATTTAAGCCTATACGGTCATCGCTATTGTTTTTTTCTCTGTGATAGTGATGATTTAATGTTTATAAAGTCACACATATTCTTTTACATCACTTGTTTCTCAAAGGTGAGTTGTGTCTCACAACAGTGTAAACATTTAGCAATTTATGAAAATAAAAACAAATGATTGTCTTTACTATTTAATTTAGGATAATCTGATCTTGTTAATAGTTTCCAGGATTCACGAAATGCAGAATTTTGTTTTAATTTATAAATTAAAACCTCCATTTAGTCAAATCCTTCTTCATTTAGTATTGAAATTACAAGAAAGAGAGACATCACAGATTAAAATTTACTCAGTATAATCAAAACGGAATGCATCTGTAATTTGTTTGAGTAAGCATCAGTTAAAATAATTACTCATTCCTCTGCATCTGGAAATTCATAACATGTACTGATAGAAACCCTAGAATAAAACTCATACAAAGCAGAAACATATTTCCATGCTTATATCGGAGTGTAGATACTGTGTAACAATGAATAAGATTTCGCAAGATTTTAGAAAAATTCTTAGTACTTTTGATTGATTCACATTGTTTCTTTCATTATCTTTGGTGATAACTATTTCTAAACCATGCTATTTCTTTATTTAACTTTCAGTGATTATCGTTCATTCACATTTACAGTGTATGCTAATAGTATTAATAATAAAGGTGAACCTAATTGTAGCTCTAACTTTTTACACAATTGACAATATTGAGCCCTTGTTCCGTTAGAATGTTTATTATGACAAATGATTAAAATTCAATATTATTATTTCTCCACTGAAAAATAAAATATTCCAAATAAGTTTTTTATTAATTTAGAGTGAAGTATCTGTAGTTAGTGGAGTAATTGATAATGTCATAAGTACCTCGAACTTTTACATCACTTTTATAAGTAAAAGCAACACATCAATTTCAATATTAAGTGTATTTGTGTAAATTTACTATGATAATAAAGTGTAAGTGATAATGTATGTTTAAAATTCCACCAACAAATGCATTATTATTTCTATTTTAGTTTCTTTGTCTTTTATTTATCCTCCATTTTTAGACTCCGAAATTGATTGGTGTGTTAAAGCACATCTATTCAAATCTTGAGTTATTACCGCCTAATGAAGTAATGAAAAGTATTTATAATTTTTTTGAATAAACTTTGATTATCTATTTTCACTTCCTCATCTATTATATGCAGTCGATATATTCTTAAAAGTTCCTCAAAGATAAAATAACAAAACCGATCAAACATGATAAAGGTTATTATAAATGAAATAGTCTATCGTCGTACTTGTAATAAACCTACTAATTTACCTTGAATAGTTTTAAAAACATATTTCATTCATAAACGTCTATAGTCAACAATAAATAATTTTGGGTTACTTTAATATCTTGGTTCTAGGCTCTTTGACAGCTATTTCAATTCTCTCAACAAACTAAAAACTTCTGAATTTAAAAAAATCATTATTTTTTCAGTTTTTGGTAGTAAAACCAATAACACTAATTTAAAACATGAAGTAATTCACTAAAAAATTTTAAAGCCAAATTTATAAACTTCGTTAACCAAATGTCACCTACAAACTAAAGTAAATAAACTTAAAACCATATGTCAGTATGTTCAATACTTAATCAGTAATTGCTAATAAAGCACACAAAAACATTCATACAATACTTACATCTAACAGGTTATTCCAATATAAATAGTTACACAGCCTCAATAAACTAACTATATAAAGCACAATGTTATTAGTCTACACTATGATTAATGCATTTTGAATGCATTAACTTGAATCTGTAATTCGTTGATCTAATGTAAGTTTTAAATATTTTCAGTACACATTTCTCTACTCTCTATTGACTGAACTATACTATATAAAGTACTCTAATTTAGTACGATGAATGTTTTCTATTACAAAAGTTAGTTTGATCAGTTAACTTCAAAAATAGGGCTTATGTAATAATGAAACAGTTATACGATCTCAAGAAATAACTATTTGTTCTCAAATACAAAATAAACAGTGACAATCTTATCAGTTAACAGAAAACATTGACTGTTCATTATTGGTTGTATAATTCAATGCACTCCATTGTTTGCATGTAATTCACTGTTTATTTAAAGTTGCAATCTAGTATTTGTCATATGGTCACACTTTTATTCCATGTCACACTTCAACTGAATGATTGGTTTTTAGAGTAGCCTCTTTGAGCTCTAAAATGATAGTTTACACATAAGGTCAAAGAGTTATAACATAATTCCAACTAAACCTTAATTCTGATTTATAATTTCCTCTTGACGTTTTATATCATTGATTAATATAATGACATTTACTGTTGGTAAAATTTATAAATATAAACTTCAAATTTAAAAATGCCCCAAGACTTGTGATAGAAAAGCGCATCATCAATGAAAAGTCCTGTTTGTTCTGTATTTTTGCCAAACACAAAAGTTAACTGAAACCATTAGTATAAAGGAGCCCCATTTAACAGGTTTTGAAATTTAGGCCTATGAGAAAAGTGAACTTATGTATAGTCACTAATCAGTGATGACCAACACAACGACTACTACTGACCATGTTGAGAATCGGTTACGTCCTCACACTGACCAATACATTTTGGATAATAAATAAAACTTAAAGGCTATTTACCAACTAATATAACAAAGCCTCCAAGTTAAAGCAAGTTTTCAGGTAGTTCGTCAATTTACCGTGTACTTAAATTCCTAGGTAACAGGCAATTAATAAAAACGTAGATAAACCTTGTATGAAAATGGTGAAGAAGCATAGCATCAAACCCCATTTCTCCACAAATCAACACGATGCATCCAACAATGTAACAAGGAACATTGTGCTATCGTATCACAGCTGAATAACCTGACTTGATTTCATTATCTTTAAGGTTTTTTAGACACTAATTTTGTAATAATAGAATTTGCTGGCATCGTCATCTGAACACTAAATGTACATAATCAGGTTTGAAGCGGAAAGCTATTATTGTCTGGTGAGAACTATTTATTGACGAGAACGTTTTTGCGTTTTGTAATGTGGATTCCTTGGGTCGAGATTTCAACACAAACGAAAATATTACATCAGACAAATTCCTCGAATATATTAAAAATTTATATTTTTGTTGTTGTTCACTTTATTTACATTTTGCGCTTTACTCTAAATTATGTCACACACAATTCCTTAGGACATATTGAGTAAATCAGAACATTCTACGGATACCAGGATTTTCGACACTACCGAGGAAAATAATCCTGATTTGATTCAGTTAATAGATATTAGTGACAACACTGTCTCACCACACCAAAAAAACGCTGACAATGAAAATATTCAAAAACAATACACAAGTAATGGACACAACATTCCGTACAATAAAGTAAGTTCAAGCAAAATGAATTACAATTTAGATGACTTTAGTTATCCTACGTCAGTCTGACTGTAGCTTTTGACACATTTAGGATACTACAGTAAAGTTTTGTATAAGCTTTTATAAGATAATTTAGTTATCAAGTGCTCAAGTTAAAGAACAGTTAGATTATTCACTTGACTGGTAATCTGAACATTGCAAAATAACTTATGAATGAAATTATAATTAATCACGAAGATTACTCACAAGTTAATCTACAAACTCTGTAACATTTCGGAACAATGATATCAAAAGAGACATTCCCCTTTTACAACTAGAAAATACTACACAAGTCTTTGGTCTATTTATAACCGACTGAATCTTATGTCTTTCAGAAATCTAGTGTAGTTGAATGTGTCAAAATTTGTTAAGTTCTTTCATTTCAACCAAAAATTATTGAAACCAAGAAGGAAATGTTAATTTAAGTCAATTATGGTTATTTACTGATCGATAACCGTGATGATTGTAATTACATAATAGATTCTCTGCTGGCTTCTAGTCAAATATGAAATCAGATTTAATGAACAAGAAAAACTAATTTATAATATGTTATCGTCACCATCGCTATTTTATAAGTACCAAGCCATATATTTTGCTCACTCTGTGATGTATACTTTTTTATAATCACTTGCAAACACTTTTGGTTCTAGTTCGAAACTTTTGAGGATATGTTATGCCACAAATTATGGTTCTGTTAGAAGAAGTTCGTCATTTCGGGTTCTTAGTTTACTCTGTATTATTGCTTCCACTAATGACTAGCGTCTAAGGAATACCACGTTGAATGGCGTCAGCTATATAAAGAAAAATATTTTCACACTCACCTAGTAATTTTTGCAGGGCAAGTTCGGAGTGTAAACAAGCCTCTACGTTACTCCATCTGACCGTGAGTGATAAGATCGGGGACTTAGTTTGGTCAAGTGCTTCAGGTCAACAGTAGTTAATGATCATTTGAAAATTAAATTGAGAACTAAGGTCTTGTGAAATACACGACAAGGAAGGATATTAGACAGAGATGGCAATGTTTTCATGGAGGTGGGTAAAACAACTGGATATACTTCAGGTTACCTTCAGCCGACATCGTCTACAATCTGTAGGCGTGCCGTCGATAAGAACGGCAAAGTACACATGTAATTATTCCAGTCTTTCTGCTTCTGCCTTGCATAATGGTGAAAAGCGCATTGAAATTTTTATCGCTCACTGCTTTAAAGGGCGTTGGTTGACATATTATTTGATATTGTTATCCGTCTATGGCTGTTAGACGCAGATTTTAGCAATAGTTTTCCTTCGTTTGATACCACAGCGGTTGAACTGAAACTGGCGAAGGTTTTAATGTTTTTCTCCAAAATAATGATAATCGGAATAGCTTAGAGTAACCGTCATCTTCAGGAGAGTTGACGCAGTTTGTTGCTTAATACTACAGACTATATGGTTTCTGTTGTGTCTTCAGGCCCGCTTTTTATCACGTAATTTATTCGCCAATTGAAATACGATTTATTCGCTCTTGTACTGTACTAAACCAATGACGTCCAACCGGTTTGATCAGCCTAGCGTTCTATTGGTTTGTTGCTCGTCTAGCCCGTCCAGTTGAGTCCAGAATGCCAATAACAGCCTCCACTATGCGAATAATTTGTTTCAGACATACTGGGTTTATTTATCAACCAAACAGACCGCAACGCACCACAAAATAGGAAATAACATTTATACACAATGAAGACAAAATGTGGCTGTGAACGTGGGAGACAGTAATTATTAAACTGAGTATAATTTAAGAACAGTAAATCGTATAATAATAATATATAGGTCAAAGGGAAGTTTATAATAAGATGAATATAAACATACACATTCTAGGTACTGAATAATAATACAAGAATGTATAGATAATATTACTCTATTAATAGGTCTCAGAAGTTACTCGTCATTTAATCTTCGCTAGTATATAACAGTTTCCATGAGACGTCTTTCCGCCTGAGTGTTATTAACTTTTCGAGTTCTTTCTCTTGCTTAAAGCGCAGCTACATAGTTTGTTATCGGGATATCAGCTACAATGTAGCTTTCATGTATGTATGATTACTCTCCCATGTACCATAATAAGATATCTGCACGTTCAAAATCCTCTGTTTGTAGATAATGGATAGTGAAGTTGTATCCTTGGAGTGGAAGGACCCAGTGCTGTAAGTTCCCCGTAAAATGAGGTAGTACACAGAAATATGAACAAAATGTTGATAACAGGGTTTTATGATCTGTAAGGAGGGTGGGTTTTTTCCTTAGATCAGCTTGTTGAACTTGTAAACCGCAAATCCTAGAGCTAACTACTCTTTATCAGTTTGCCCATACTTCTGATTGCTTCCTTTTACTATACTCTACGCCTTCAGGACTGTACGTTTTTATCCGTTTGGAAATGCGTGTAGTGATACGACTTCAATTTCATACAACTATATGTCCGTAGTTACTTTTACAAGAATATTAAGGTCATATAAGGTTGGAAATTAGTAGGACTTAAAGCAGGTTTTAGCTATTTTGATGTATTCCTGAATTTATTTAACTCAGTTCACGGAACATTGTTTCATAGTTACTAATTTAAAAAAATACTCAAAGTGGTGAAATGAGGAGTAGCAGTTTATTGTTCTTCTAATCGGAGAAGAAAAACATTTTCATAAGCTTCAATAACGTTCTACTTCGCTTCCATAGGTATTCAAATGATTTTGAGACCACAGAGGATATTGTTTAAGTATAAAGAATCTCTGAAGATGTTAGCCAGAACTGTCCTCACCAACTATTAGAAAATAGATGCTGCTGTTTTTAGCCAATTGATGGTCGATTATATTGGAGTAGTCCCAGATGTGTTAACCATTAGTTAAACCCGAGACTTGTGTTATACTTTCATTTGGAATTTCGTCCTAGCTAATTTGAATTAAGCTAAATATCTTCATTTTTTGAGGACAATACTAAGTTTATTCGAGAAATACATAATGATGTAGTGTAAGGTTTGAATTCGGTTTAGTGGGAAGCTGAGGAGGATTCTAAGTGAACTTTTTGCATTTTTTATCACAACTTCTGGGGTTGCTTAACCTGAGGATTATACATGAGCGATGACGCCTTGTTACTCAAATTTCCGCAACTTGACAGGAACAACAGGTCATGATGAATAAGAAACTGATTTTTTAAGGTATTACAAAGTTATGTTGCTTTTGGGTGACAGAAAGAGTCATTTGTTTATGTACAGTAACCAAATCTTACATTGAAATCAATTAAACATTCTTTCAGTAACGATGATAAACTCCAAGGGGTTATTGACCGAATATCGTTGCAGGTTGAGTTAAGTGATATGTCTCTCGGTAAGAAACCACACTAATCTAGCACAACAGGATTTGGTTCTATATCGGTGATATATAATCTACTATTAGATACCTGTACGAGAAAACAAATACAATGTCGTAATTTCATAAAAAAATAAAAGATAACCACCACACTCCATACTAATGTTTTTATGTCTTGCTTACTTCTGGGTTGTCGAGTTTTCTTCAAATTTTCTGCAGCACTAATGTGGTCTTTGAAGACTGTTTGATACTTCCGATTGTAATGATAATTAAATAAGTTGTCGTTAAATCCATCGATATGTCCCCCGATTTGTCACAAAAAATCTTGGCTTCATAAGTTAGTAAAGAGTGTGTTCAGCTTATAAAATCTATCATTGTATTCATGAGATTCCATTTCCTGCATTAATGTCATTAATGACGGTATGATTTGACTAAATCCCATGTATTGCAACAACAGTCTGTAAATGACTGATTTCTCTTCATTTCCATGACTTGATGTTAAGGTATAATTCTGTGGATCCAGTAGCCCCGTAAATAAAACTATATTCATTATTAAATTAAATGAATTTAGATACCAGATGGTTAAACGGAGTAAATAAAAAGATCTGAAACAAAGTTTTGTGCCATCTGGTATTAATTAACTTAGAGAATCTGAATTCTTGATGAAAGTATTCTAAGATGTTCTACTTGATGAAACATTCAGAGATTTTATTACTGAGGTATTCGAATGCTTTAGTGACCTAATCGCTCGGTGGATAAGAGGCTCAGCTTTCAATCATTAAGTCTTAGGTTCAAATCTCCGCTACACACTTCGGTTTAGGAAGCGGCGTGATATCAATAGCTTTTATACTTTCGATGTAGCTCATATTAGGGTACCTAATGAATAATTTAATTACCAATTGTTTACTTTACAAACTTGAACTATTGGACTAGACCAGAATAAATAGTTAAGTAAGAGTATACTGAATATTGCATGATGACAAATTAATGACGTTACACTTCATGCAGTATATGCACGTTATTATACTACCTCAAGGAAACAAAACATTTTATCATCATTCCTAATATTATTGTAAATGATTGATTTCTAGTGCCATCAGTACTCCATAACTAAGTAATTTGTCATATTTCAATCAAATTTCAGTAAGCTGTTTTCATTTATTTACTTTTATGTTTAAATTAATATTAAAAGGATGGTGAAAAAAACTGGATAACTTTCGATGATCATTTCGAAAACCAAGGGATTAGCTGGGAAAACTCTACACCTAAAAATCTAATGTCTCAAAATCTTCATAATCAACCATTTGGTAACAATGATCTACATTTCTGTAAGTTAATTACAATTCACATATAATTCTTAAATTCCATATGACGTCTGTATCTCAATCAGTTTTTATGAATTTGAAGTGTAAGCTACTCTTGTTTGATCTAATTGATTAATAGTGGTCAAATTTACCGTCATGAATCTCAGATTTATAGTAAAACATCGTTTTACCAGTTATATTTATTTATTTTATGTGAAATATATTACATACTATTTCTACACTAAATAATTATGATTCTCAGTAAAATCAGTATTCCGAGATTAACTAATTTGATTTCACTTTAGTGTCATACCATATTTCGTCAATAGAATTTGTTCAGTTAATTTGTAGTGCCTGGTACTATGTCAAGCACATATAGGTTATTCTAACTTACAGACAGACCAATTTATTCGTTCTCCGAAAGCCACATTTTGACCTTGTTAATTATTCGCTTATCGATCTTAACTGATTTTATGTGAGCGTATGTTCTTGAATTTCTTATCTTACCATATATCCGTAACTTATTTTTGTTTGACTTTAATATCGATTCACGCTTGATTAGTAGGACTTGGCTCACATGCCTTCTCCGATCCGATCCGTTTCGCTTCGCTCTCTCCTATCCGTTTCGTTTCCTCAATCATCTACTTGGATTAACGTATACCTGAAATAAATTTCTCCAACGTAACCTTTCTTATTACCGTTGTCATACAAACGTGGTTAGCCTAGGCAATATACGGAGTTAAATGGAAGATTTTTATTCATAGCTTATTCATAAGTTCATTCAAATTGGAGTCAGATCAGCCGGCAACACAAAGCTTTTAAATCAGTTATAGGTATAAAATACGCATTAGGTTGTATAAGTAAAATATATTTCATTTACACTGATACAAAGAAGCATATATTTACAAACTATAAGAATAAACTAATGAAACGACATATTACTAATCACTGTTATAAATTTTTTTAAAAATACTGACATTCAATAATAACATTAAATGAAAACTTAACTATACTGGAAACAAATAGCACATTTCAATATTCATATATTGTTTGAATAATTTGCAAACTAGAAATATTATTCCAAACGAAAAACAATAAGCTGATTATCTTAAACTTCAAATTTTGTATGTTATGACTGTATTCTTTCTTTATTCATTATTGAAAACTATCCAAAGATATGTATATGTTGTTTTCGAATAAGCACATATATTAAAATACTTTTATTATTTTTTTTGTCTTAATAATTGGTTATCAATTGAAGAATGGATTTTTTTTCCTTATGAATACTGTAGCAAAATAAAATAACATTAATATAAGAAAATATTCTCATTTTGTATTTGATCTTTTCACCTATCTGTTTCTATAGTATATAAATATTATTACTCACAAATATATAAGTATTTGAACGAAGAATATTTTTTTCAATAATTTCTCATCAGATTCTACAATTATAAATCCAAATTAATAACCCATAAAATTGATCAGATTTAAGGCAGAATACATCATCCATTGTTTTCTCTCTCTCGCCCCATGTTGACTATATTTATTCGGACCATTTATCACACAATTTCATTTCACTTATAAACTAATTCAAGTTAACACTTCATAATAGTCAACCCTAACATTAACGATCTGATTTGATTTTATATAACAAACAACAATTCTTGGTTCACATATTACAATTTCCAAATGATGTGCTTTGCCTAAATCTGATCAATTTTATAGATTATTAATTTAGATATAAGATAATTGTAGAACCTGACGAGAATTTATTGAAAAGAATATTTTTCGTTCATATAATTGTGTTTGAATATAATGGGAATTTTTCAGCGATTAAAATATAAAAGTATTATTTGTTTAAATAAACATTTAAATAAAATTCATTAAAAATTCTTTAAACCAAAAGATGGAAAAAATCATTCATGAACAAAACTGTTAAATTTCATTATCAATAGATTTTGTCTAATATTAATAATTTTAATAGCTGAAATCATGAGTCAACTGAAACTAGACCACTATGGAAAACCTGGAAGCACTGGACTATCGTTTCATCCTAGTATGGGACTCCTCAGCAGTGCGCATCCACGATCCTGCCCCCGCACGATTCGAACCCGGGACCTATCAGTCTAGCGCGTGAGCGCTTAACCATCATACCACTGGGCCGGTATCCAACGACATCCAACTGCTGAGGGGTCCCATGCTGAGGCGAAACGGCCGTCCAGTGCTTCCAGGTTTTCCATGGTGGTCTATCTTCAATTGACTCATGATTTCAACTATTGAAGTTACTAAAATATCCACAAAACCCCTTCTGATAACATTACTAAGTTATAACATTTCCAAAGTATAAATATTATATGATAATTAGGTTATTTATACAGTTTACAATGTACTTCATTGTGAATTATATAGCTAAATTAAAATATTTCGAAAATTATTTGAATTTTTACTAAATACTGTCTATTTATTCATAATATTTAGTCTCACAAATCAATATGAATAATCAAATGTCCAAACATAATTCTAGTCCATTTATGGAAATGACTAAATGTACAACACAAAACACTCCGTATTTAAAATCATATTCAACAACAGCTAATATTTGGTCAAATATACCACCTGCTATTCAAACCGTAAGTTAATGCTTTTTTTTGTATGGTGGTACACATCAATATAGTCAATAAAACTCATTTGAATTTAGAACACTTAAAAATTGCAGAGCCAATAGTGGTTGATTTGAAATGATTCTCATCGTTGCAGTCGATTTGTTACATTCTTTATAAAATTACTTATTGATTGAGATATTTACTGATAAAATCAATCTTTGTTCCAAGTGTTATTGTTTTATTTATTAGACTACTTTTCTTTCATTTGATAAATATTACATGGAGACTTTCAAAAAAAGATGAGGAACATCATGATACACTCAGACTCTTTACACATTGTCGTCAGCCGAATTTAAACAGTATTTTTCGTAAATATTTGTATAAAACACAAAAGTACCAAATTTGATTACAATTTCAGTCATTTCAGCTTAATAATATTTAGTCTAATTTGATTATTTGGATATATCCACTGGAATTAAATATTGATTAGTTTTAACTGCCTTTTTATTACATTAATTTAACAGTAAAACTGCCTAACGAATAATTATCCACTGTCTACGTTTCTGGTAATGATGTGCGAAAAAATGTAGCCATTCAGTATACAACTAATGTTTTATGAATACCAACACGTTACCATTTACTATCTACTGATGATTATGAATATGAGAATTTTATGAACACGTTTGTTAAAGTAACATAACAATCTACTGGTACCATTTAATAATTTATGTGACTTTCTATTAAGATAACTATCTTCGAATGTGTTTAATCCTAGAAAGTTAGATCTTCTTCTGGAAAGTTTTACTATTCACAAAAGGTTTAAGGTATATTATACATGTTTATTTTATACAATAAAAATATCATAATTTATAAATTTACAAAATTCAAATAATTCACTGACATAATCGAAAATTATGTCAGTTATTTGGAAATATTAGAATGATTTTATAGACAAAATGATCAAATTTCTACCAATGGTTTCGACATAATTTAAAGTTGATAACATATATATATATATAACTTGTTCATTATGTGTTGTTTGAATTTCTGAACAAACAGACTTCTATCATCTTATTAGATATTATTTTGTATTGTACTTGTAAATAAATAAAAAAACTGAAATATTTTACCGAATAATATGTAAATTATTCACTCGATATTACTGCTTTCTTGTCGTAAACATCTGATATAAATACGTGATATATATATATATATATGTTTTATACATGTATAAATTCAACAAATTAACCATTATTGAATAAAATTTTTAGTATCATTTACTACATAGATTGGAAGTAAATTTGCATAAATATAAGAACCTATTTACTTTTATCTGAAAGTATATCTTGATAAATAAAATGGAAATACGAATAGTTCGAATAAATATGATTATTTGATTTTTTTGGATGTAGCTAGTAAAAACTAGAATAATACAGTTTCAAATGAGCAGTAAATCGTTTAAGAAAAAAATGAGTCAAAAAAAATGTTTATGGATATGTCATTATAGATACAAATGAAAATAAATACATTTGAAAAGTATACTTTTACTTATATCTTAGGTCAATTTTATTGAGAGGAATTATGTTTATACGGAAATAAATGACAAAATTAGGATCTCAGAATAACATTATACTACTCTCCAAAATATAAATATTTAATTCTATAATGAATTTAATACTCTACTTTAATTCCACCTAAGCAAAGTCTTTATTGAAGGAGAACGCTGAACACGTTGGCAAGGAGAAGGGGATTACTGTAATGGAGAGGTTTATAAATAAATATTATATATGTCTGTCATATTATAGCTTCAAAAATTATCATTACAATGATTGACTCTTATTTCCTGATATAGTTATGTTAAGGATCTTTTCTGAAATCATATTATAACCTTGGCATTATATTTTAAATAGCAGTTCATTCCTCTCTTGTATTCTAAATTTTTGAAGCTTTCTATGGTATAGTATAGTAAAATGATTCCCCATCATCAATATAGGATACGATTACTTGAATTAAAATAAGAGTTTTCCATCTGTGTGTTTTAGTGATGGTACAGTGATAGTTTATGAGGAATATTAATCAGTTTTTATGATGCTAACATGCCGAATCTCCTAAACAATACACAAGTGTTCAATTAAAGATTAATAAATGAATATCCCGTCAATTTGATTTAAATGTTGTTTATAAAACACCTTAGATAAAAAACTACTTATTTAGGGTTGTCAGTGAATGTTAAATGAGCATAAACGAATTGCTGATCGAGGACAAGTTCTCAAGTGTTTACCTAATATCCAGTGGTATCACTAACTGAGTTTTCGCAAAGCTAATTTTTATTGCAAGGCGTTAGTTGTTACTATTTTTTCCTCTAAGTGAAAATAACTACTTGTTTGATGTAACTCAGTTTGTGTGTATCTTGTTTTAATTCATGATAAAATATGTAATAGATTTTAGTTTTAGTATTCTTTGTTAATTATACTTTGATTTTTATTTTAGTATAATAACATGCATTATATTTTCAATTTTAGACTAAAATATCCCCAATGGATGATAATTTTTGTAGCTGGACAACAACACAGCATATCCAAACTAAGCCAAATAATGTGTATACTAATAATAAAAATGTTACCAATAATCCATTTTATAATTTACCAGTTGGTGACACTCATTTAAATGTAAAACAAACTTCTCCACTTGATACAATATTTGATATAAAATTATTTAACTGAAAACACAACCTTTACTAATTTCTCATCATTATATATTCTTTTTGTTGTTTATCCATCTGACAGTAAAAAAAAACAATCACATTTTGCAACTCCTCATTTTGATTTATTTTTTTTCGACGTAATGTGTCTTGGTCAACGATTTTTCTTCATTGTGATTTTTCTTTTTTGAAGAAACACTTTACAATTGCACACAAGGTTATGTTTTCTAATGTGTATCGTTGAAAACCCAAATGTATTTATTGAATCTTTGACTGATAACTTTATCACACTGAAAATAAACTTATCTTTCATATCATTCTGATCAGTCGATTTGTTTTCAGATTTATATAGAATGATTAGTGATTAAAGTCCTAATACACATCAGTAAGTGATATTTGTTGAATTATCTGATTGTTACTACTTTTAAAGCTCTTTTCATATGTAACTTATTTCACAGATTAAATCTTTTTTTTAAAAACCTGATATAATTTAATTGCGTAAATGTAATTAATCGTGTTTCAATCTACCAATGGTAAAAATAGGTATTTAAGATAAAAAAAAATTAGTTTACCTTATTATGTCTGACAAGATATGAACACTATTTTACTGAATGTAAATAAATGACTTTACATTCATTTAATTGTTGGAGACTACCTAAATAGATATTTATCGTAGATATTGGGAAATTTTCAACAATCAAATTTTGTGTATCTCTAAATACAACATATTTGACTTAATAAGAAGATTAAAAATTATTATTTTGAAGACTAGAACAAAACATATAACAAACAAAGTTGTTTTCAATAAGATCTTTATCAAGCTTTACTTGAATATACAGTAATATTGAAATATATCGGAAATATAAATCAGTCAGTCCAATTTATGAGTTATTGATAATAATGAAGTAGATCATATAGTTAATTATAATTTGCAAACGATCGATCATTGAGTAGAAAATATATCAGGTCAACTAGTAGTAATAAGGATAATAATGACTAGCCAGAACGATTAAAACATGACATGAAGCCTACTGTTGCTTGCCATTTTCCTGTTAACTAATATTATTTATTAAAATAAAGTATCGGCTACCTGTTTTTGCCACTTCAGTGTGCATCGATCAATTCAGTTATTTCTGTGACAAAAAATAAATCAGAAATTTTTTCAATTAATGTAACCAATATGTGAATGAACATCTTTTTGAGTAGTTTGGATAAATCTAAATAAGTCCTATGCTTAGCTCTGTTTTATCATATTTGGTTGATTGTGATCATGAAATAGATAAGACAAAATCCATTGTAGTGATCTACCGTATATTTTGACGATAAGGATAAAACTACAGTTACTGACCATAATCTGTGCTTGGAATGTTTAATTAACGAAAAAATTTAATTTAGCTGTCATTACGAGTTTAATTCTTACTCTGATTATTCTAAAAGTCGGATTCCTTATTTTATTCAGTTGTTCTATACTAATTTACAGATTGCAAAAGTTAAATACGGCATAACAGCAGATCGAACAAGATTTAGTCAGAAGTATATTGTGATTTCATTCCTTAACTTATATGTGATTATACTACTTAAGTACAAGAATACAACGAACGATTATCCACCGATGATTTACTTTTAACAAAAAACTTGATAACAAATCTACAGTTTATCGTAAATGACAATCGCTATAATGTCTGAATCAACAGAAAGCGAGAAATTATTATTAAATCCATAATACTACCTGATAAATGCTCATTTTAAAAAAATATAAACAATAAATTAGCTACATAAATATTGATGTTTATTTACATCATTTATCAACAAATTCCATTTAAGGTATTTTCAAAAATTTACAAAATATCCAATAAAATGTAGTATGATTAAAAATGTCACTCAAAGTATATTTCACTTTAGACATTACAGTACGACAACAACCTCACTTTGACAATTTATTCGTGATTCCTTCATAAATCGTATAATTTAATAAAACAAAATAGATGGGATTTCACTTGCAGTGGAATCTAAGTCTTGTCGGATGAATGTACCTGCATTCGAGTTGGTGTTCACTCTGGGACTCGAACGTTAAGGCAGTTCTACAGTACGGAGCCGAAACTTGGAGAACTACAACAACCACAATCAAGAAGGTACAAGTATTTATAAATAACTGTCTACGCAAGGTACTCAACATCCATTGGCCGGATACCATGAGCAACAGCCTTCTCTGAGAGAGAACAAACCAACTTCCAGCTGAAGAAGAAATTAGGAAAAGACGATGGAAATGGATAGGATATACATCACGCAAATCATCAAACTGCATCACGAGGCAAGCCCTAATTTGGAATCGTGAAGGGAAGCGGAAAAGAGGAAGGCCAAAGAACACATTACTTTGGGAAATAGAAGCAGATATGAAAAGGATCAGTAGGAACTGGAAGGAGCTGGAAAGGATTGCCCAGGACAGGGTTGGATGGAGAATGCTGGTTAGTGGCCCATGCTCCTTCACGAGGAGTAACAGGCGTAAGTAATTAAGTAATGTTGGCTTTATAGAGGAAATTCTCACAGGAAGTGCATATGTCAACCAAAACTGATTTAATTTCAGTCAACATTTCAACAATTCAAAAACAGGTTCAAATTTAATTAAAAACTTGATATTTGTCTAACTGACCCTAAATATTTTGGCTTTCAGTCAGCTGCCTGTTTACGACAAATTCGTTTTCATGAATTTCACGTTTTCAAAATTCTCTGATTTCGTGAATCTTTTTATTTTACATTTGTTAATAAACTGTTTTCTTTGTTTGACCCCAACTTTCTATAACAACATTTAAGTAATGGCTAAAGTCATTCATTTTTAAATAACAGCTGTCACCATGGCATTTCAGTTGCATGAATTCAATCATTATCATAGTATTAATAGACTAGCGAAATAAATATATGTTGGACCGGAACTATTTGTTTTCAAAATCCATCCAAATGAATGAATAACAATGTAAGTTAACCTAATTATCATAATGTTCATTGTGGTGTGTGACATATCTCCTTTCATCATACGAAAAGTATATACCAACATCGATTTAGAACATGTATAAGCAAACAATATTGTTTTCAGTTAGATCCTCAACAGGCTTAACTGTGATATGCATCAAGATTTATATGCATATACAAAATTATTAAACCAATTAAGGTAGTCTATTAGTCAGTAGGGGGTTCCATCTTGTCTTTTACGCATGACAGAAGTCATAGGAATTTGGACTTACAATTCAGGTCTTTGTATTCATAAGAAATTTATAACTCCCTTAATTTCTTCTTTGGCTGAATAAGCCTTTAAAAAAGATTTTACTTATCAGTGTTTTCCATACAATTTGTTTGTCCATTTTCTTCGACCAACTTTTTTCAAATATACGCTTCATTGTCCAACTATCTGAACATACCTTGTTACGTAATCTTATAATTTTTATGAATGTTATTTCAGTGTCTATATTTTTCAGATTATTGACCTATTTTCTGTTATGAAACAATGATTCAAGCTTTTGTTATTCTTATCAAAACTAACACATCTTACATCACACTATCAATTCGTACTTCTTACTTAATCTATTCTACTGTGATCATTGACTTATAAACTACCTTAATTGGTTCAGTAATTTTGCATATGTATATTAATATTAATGTATATCATAGTTAAACCTGATGAGGACCTAATTGGAAATAATATTGTTTGCTTATATGTATTCTAAATTTTTTTGTTCATCGGTATAACTAGGTGACGATGAGAATATATATATATATATATATATATATATATATATATATATATATATATATATATATATATATATATATATATCATCCTTTTGTATAGATTTTGTCAGCCATCCTACCCAAAGATAAATTAGCGATCTTTACATCTAATGGCAGACTCGAACACGCTATGTGATCTTGCATATTCAAATCATGTAAATTTCAATAAAGTATGATAACATTCTCATGTTCATCTAGTTATACCGATGAACAAAAAATTTAGTATGAAGTTGGTGTAAGGTATGACTATCTTGCTCATTCGCTAGAATTCACTAAAATAACAAAACGAAATATTTTTTGAGTTGTATAAATCTACCAACTCATCTCTGTTTTATGTTAGCTGATTATTGATTAGCATTAGTATTTATGTCCAGAAGCATAAAGCACCAACTGTTAGAAAATAATAAAGTAATTCTGCTGCATCGGCACAACGTAGTTATTGCACTCATAATGATCTATATCCTTCGGTAAATTACTGAGAATTGTTATCTATGAGATAAAGTGCTACGTTTTGAGACACTCAGTGCTGAATTAAAATCTCATTTAAAACTTTACCATGATGCAAGTACACTAATTTAATCAATTCTAGTTATAACTTCAATCGATAAGACGTAACTAACTGTTGAGACCAATCTAAAATGTGTAAATTTTGTAAAAATTGGGATTCGCATGATATATTTGTTTTTTCACGATAATTTGACGAAATGGATTTTTTTTTCTGCCTATTCTTAATTATGCTGTGAACTATTTTTAATATCTATGTTTTAATATACTTCTACCTTCAAACTGATAATCAAGAAACTTAAGTTTTGAATAAGCTTACATATCGAAAACTTAAAATCATAAACTAAGGATGAAGTAATTCTTGAGTATCAAAGTAGTTTTAAAAATAACTTGGGTAGTATTTTGTTTTCATGTTTGCGTGGATTGATAGTTAATTTTATGATATTTATTTCTTTCGTTTGGCTCTTTTCCTCCTACATTTTCGTATATTTTATCACACTATTCATAATTAGTCAGTAGTTTGAAGCATTTGAATACTGTAGTGTTTTAGTAAGCATACCTTTTTTCATCGAGCCTTTTCTTTCATTTATTAGTCTAATATTACCAGTTTATTGATTGATTCTCGCTTCCGTATTCAACTATTCTCCTTTTGGATCTTATGACATAAAGGCTGATTTGATTTTAGTGACCTATTTACATGAAATCTTGTAGGTTGAAGGAGTTATTTTCTATTATTATTCCAAACCAACGACTTGTTATTTTGTCATCAAATCAATATTATTCATACTCAACTGCCAGAGGACGAATTCAACTCCTAAAAATTCTACTATTTTACCTCAAATTTTAGTAAATTCGTAGAATTCGTTTCGTTTTCTATTATAAGACAGTATTTTTAAACTATGAAGTCCTTTGGCAAGATATTAAAGCGTATATCATTCGACTGGCTAAACTCCTTCCTTTGACTCTATATTCTCTCTATGGCATGAGTCAAGAGAATTCAGATAAGGGAAGAATGAAAGAAAAACGAAGTGTTATATGACGTGTTAAAGTAAGCCGTTACTAATTCCTTATTTTTTACCGAACAACAAACTGTTGACCAGCTTCTGAAGTAGGTGCAAATGGGAGATATAACTTCTCTGCTGCTAAAAGCGATGTGAAAAGTCTACTAGCGAAAAGAAAAGTAGGCAGTAACATATTTTACTAGCTGCGCTTCATCCCTCTTCTGTTGAGTGTACACCAGATTGTAGTAGTCGGGAAGCGCGATGCTGATTTAGGCGATATAGCAGTAACTAGTTGACAGAATGAACGAAAGGCCAAAAGGCGAGTCCTAAACTACATAACACAACGTTAGACGACAAGAACAATACGCTACAGAAAGAGATAAGTATTTTGTGCCACAGGTTAACACGGAATGATGAAACAAAAAGTTGGTCACGAAATGGGTCGTGATTCAAAGGCCAATAGTTCTACGGGGGAAGTCTAGCTCCTTCGATATCCTTGTATCACCAAAGGCAATAGACGCTTCAGATAATATATGGTCAATCAACTTTTCAGTGATTTTTACAACTTCGAGATCAGTATATTCTGAACACTGAATAGATATTTGTGAGGTAATAAGTAGTGAATAGTTCGGATGAAGTTAAGTTTCGTTTGAATGTTCTTAAACTTGCATTTGGGAACCTGAAGGATACATTTTGACTGGGTATATAATAATGCATTTAATTTAAAACGTAAGAATTTGCAAAGTGTGACAACGCTTACATGTTCTAGCTATGGTACACCTAATAATTGTTCTAGCGTCTACCGCTTCTTACTTCATCTCCGAGTTAAACGTAGAATGCAGATCGCTTCAGTTATTGTATTCACGGCTTTAAGGATCGTGTGATTGAGAGTCAATTGCCATCAGAACTAACGTGATGTTCGCTTCTGACTTTTGATTTCACTGGGTGGGCAAGATTCAATTATAGGTGTTACTGCTTAAAGTGTTGTCAAACTACAAATACCTGTGGCGTCTTCATTGGTGAGCCTGCCGTGATCTGGTACACCAACCTGTAAACAGTGAGTCTGTTCATTTTCGAAACTTCATATGTCATTCCTGT